CAGGCTGGCCTTCAACTCATGATCCTGCTGCCTCTGCTGGGATTAAGGCATGGTGTTTGTCAGGATTGCCCCTCTTCCTCACTGACTTCTAAGTGCTAAGGGGCACTTGGAAACTGCTTTGAAACAATGTCATACATGGCATCTGTGAACACTGCAATTGAAAAACTATGGTTTTTGCTGAGGCTACACCATTGATATGTTGGATAGATAAAAAGATATACACACTTAGTTAATTCCATATATCTCTACTATGTCATTCCTATTGCCTGAACTTGTTTTTTTTTTTTTCCCATAAAATGCTTTAGTTCTCACAAAGATATGATTTCTCTTCTTTTCAAGGTATCTCTCAAGTAAACTTGTAGTGCACTAGACCTAAAGGCAACATGCTTACTAGTATACTTTGGTTTATGTACGTATGATTTTAAACTCCAATTTCAATTTTTTGAAAACAAAGCCACTTATCTTGTGTTAAGCTGCTTACTGTTTCAAAAAATATTCTATAATGTAGTTTTGATACTTTAGTTTATGAATTAGAAATCTAAAGATTTCTACTGAGCATAAATGCTCAGTAAAGAGGAATAAAATTTTATTAATTTTATCTTAGTGGCTTCAAAATCAGCAGCTGCATATTTCATTTTCTGTAAAACAAAGGGATAGAATTAATGCTAGTACCTTATACTACTGTGAGAATTAAAGAATAAAAGTGTATTTTGCATATGGCAGGAGATAATATGCAGTAATTTTAATCTCATCACATGTTGGGGAAACATTTATGAAAATATCTTCCTAATAATATTGAGAGAAAATTTCTCATCTTCTTTAGTATTAAAAAATACCCTCTTTCAAAAATGTAATTTTAGAAGTTCAACTTTTAAAAAATACCTAATGTTAATAACAATAAAGCTTACACTAGTGAGAAGGAAATATAATGACTATTATTATAATATTGTAACTGAAACTTTGCTTTTACCAAACATTTGACATATTATAAAAAGAGGTGTGATAAGCTTAATTATACTAGTCTTCACTGTTTTATCATAGATGAGTGATGACAGTCTCATTGCTGGTGAAAAAAATTTATTCAGTTCAAAATTAGAATCAGTATACACATGGAATACACGACACCAATTGAACATTAAGATCTCCTGTTCAGAGAAACCGAGATTTTGTACCTGCACTTTATATTTTAATTTTGTGCCCTTGGGTATACTGTGCATAATTTTTTAAAAGATTGGTGAAAAACCCTTCCTGATTTCTTCACATCAGGATAAAAAGTATTTATGAAAAATAAATAGCCAAAAAGTGTGTGTTAATCTGAAAGTATTTGATGTAAGGAAGGTATCAGGGCAGAATTACAGACATAAATGTGGTAACACATTTTTGCAGTATCATTGTGTACTATATGCCACTTTATTGGTGTATTAATTAGTGTATAATCTTGGTTACACTACAGGAGACCCATCAATCATAGTTTTGACTTCACATAAACTAGAGATATGAAAAACTCACAGAATGTGAAAATGTACAACAGAGATAAGGTTATATTGGTATCAAATCTGTATGTTTAAGCAATGACAAAGGCTCAGGATGCATTCTGGTTGGCTCAAGTTTCTTGACATGGTTATCCTGCCACTCTTGGAAAGATTGATTCTCCAGTGCTTGACCTTCTTATATCATCTTTCTGTCTTTTGTCCAAGCTAGGTATTTGATTATCGTTGTTCAGATTCAAAGTTTGTAACTGAGAATTTTTAGTAAACTCGCCAATGACTGGATCCATCAGTATATAGAATTCATTCTAGAAATTTAGAAAGAAAATCCATCATTACTTTCAGTCTATATAATCTTCAAATATCTTAAACACAGGAAGAAAAATCATTTTAAAATAATGAGCTAATAAATAAAAACAGATACTAATAAATAATGGATGTAATTTTTAAGTTATTCTATTAGTCACATGAAATAGGTCCTAAACAGACAAATTACAAGAATATTTTAGATTCAATGAAAATATACATTGTGTGCAGAACTGACTTGAGAATATTTTTCTTAAAGATATTTAGAAAATATTAGATTTACTAGACTCAAACATTTTTCTTCTTTATATCTTAAAATATTAATTTATGTTATACTAACAATTTTAAAAATTACAACTCAATTTTTGACTATGTTCATAGCATAGAACATCTATGGTCTTCCTTTAATTACAACCTTTTCCAACATTTATCTCCTGGAAAAGGCAACATAAAATGTGAAAATACCGTAAAACTATCAAGTTTATCCCAGATGCTTCAAGTATTTTGAATATTTTAATATAATACTTTATCAAGGACTTGATCTATCCTAACACTTAGAAAAATTCTATAACATTTAAGTGCAGAAATTGTGAGAAGTCACTATTTTGAAATTTAGGTTATAAGAATTCCTTTTAAGAAACAGATATAATTACTCATTATCTCAAACATTGACTAGAAACCATATTTTTATTGATCAAATGCTGTAAAATCAGATGAACCAATGAAAATGCTTAAAGATTCTATTAGTCAGATACCCTGAAACACTTTAACAGTTAAAAATAAATGAGCAAATCCAAAGACTTCATTATAATTTGAATGTTCTTTGTACTTTTATAGGATTGTAATACCCAAGTGAGTTCTTCAGGAACTGGTTAGTATCTCTGTTCAAGCAGAAAAACAACTTTTAAAAAAAGTACAAGCATCAGTGTTTTTTGTACATCTATCCTCTTCAAGAATTTTTTAATAAAATAGAGATGCTATTTTAACATCAGAAATGACTTATTGTATGTTATCCTAAAACATTCATTCATTGTTACACTTCAGGGGAAATGCAAGTATTTTGGAATAATAATCTTAATCATACGATTATAAATCATCTTAAAGACTAGGGCTCTATAGTTCAGGAGAGTCTATTCCTCCATGGCAGTATGTAAAGAAGCTGATTATCAGTGTCAAATAAATGTTAAACTCTCACCAATTTAAACATTTGATTTCACTTATTTGCTGCTCTTCCATTTAATACTGAATTAAAACAGTTGCAAATTGGTCCTTTATTGATTTGGGCAAGTGGCTAAATTGATGTAAACTGGGGGTGGGGGGAAGGTGGGGAGAAGGTGTTGTTTTTATGCAAATTATTTGATCATTTAATACAAGTAAACATACTCAAATCTAAATACCTGACCTTTTCAAATAAATGTATACCTACCTTGATTTTCACAATAAGCCTCAACTCATTTCCATGACAATGTTTTTACAAAATGTAAGGCAAAACAGGTGTTAAATTACTTAACAGAACTCATAATTTAAATAATTAAAACTAATTTGTGTTTAAAGCTATTTGCAGATTTATTAGAGAAACAAATACAAATATGCATTTCTACAGAACTGTTTTTTTTTCCAAAATGAGCTTAAAACTTGTTCCACAGTTTTCACTTGTTTATATATCTAATGATAACCCAAGTATTGGCTTCTGTACCACTTATAATGAGACAATTGCCCTTCCATTGCAATTATAAAAAACTATTTAAAAAAAAATTCAGCACATACACGTTAAATATTTTTCCTTAAAAAAATAATCTAATCAAAATATTGAATACTTTAGATTTAAACAATATTTTATTTACAAATCTGATTTGATGTACTTTATCAATTATACAAGGTAATGCTTCAATTTCAAGAACAGTTGTTTTTTTTGTTCATATAGACCAATGGAATGACATCCTATCTAGTAATATATGTACTACACTTCAATTTTCTTCAAAATTAACACAAGTTTTCTGATACTTTCACTTAAAAAATGTTAATTTGGGCACAAGTCTGATGAAACAAAAAACAACATGCAGAATTGCAAAAATAACCTCTTAAAGTAATATGATACTTACCCTTTATGTAAAAAGACATCTATGAACAACAGTGCATAACAATATTCTGTGTTCATGTTTATGACAAACCAAGCAGGAAGCAAAATGGTTTCATCCTGTTTTCTAATCCTATGCAATTTCATATGGCTGTTTGCATCATTTAAATAAATGTGTACATTGTAAGACTGCATTGCACTCAAAATTATTATGTATAGCCATGCTTGCCCTGTATTTAATGAGTGATGAATTTCTCTTACTAACAGAGTAACTTGTCTTAAATTGTGTATGTGATGTAAAGAGTGTTAAATGATAT